ATTTCATTTTTACTAGTAAATTAAACCAAACATAAATTAAAAATTTTTTAAGTGTAATATAACTCTAAAAATATGTTAAGTATCTTGTTTAAGCTTGACTTGGCCCATTCATACGCAAGGAAGAGAGGAAGACTGAAGACAAAACACCAACTTAATTCTAACCTAACTCAGCAAACAAAACAAAACCTTACAAATTACAAAATCCGTCGCGCGACCAGTGGTGGCCAGTTTACTCACTGTGTTGATTTATTTATTAACCAATAAATTGCCCATTTTGAGGGAAAGTACGCGATTTATGTAAAATGTACCTATGACAACTAACTTGTTGAGAAGGCTACACAGGTAGTGAAAATAAACTATGGAAGCAACAAGAGTATCAAGAACAAGACATAACCTCAAATCAGTTAACTTAAGTGTTTTGATCTTTTGTTTAGTGTGTGTCACTGTTATGAGTTGTTATTTTTGTGACTGGGTATTGGCATAACCTACACCGAACATCTTTTCACGTTTTGATCCTTGGAGCATGTAAGTATAAAAGTCACTATACCTAGTAACATAGACGTATTTTAGGCATTGGCCTTACCTAGATCTAAGTTACTGTACAAATTAAATTGGCCAACTTATCATTCCTAATGCCTTAAGTATAAATAAATAAATCTGAAACCTCAAAATAGGCAATCTGTTTTAGAGGAACCAAGTATTTTTCTGCATACAAATTAGGCCTAGGCATAAGCTACTAAGTTAGGCGGCTTGCTTAGTTCTTACTGAACCAGTAGTTTATTTAGCTTAGGGCAACTTCCGGATGAAAATAGTGTTCAATATATAGGCTAGTAAGTAGGACTAACTTACTGGTTTACAAGGCAAATGAAATACCATACTGTGTTGTAATACCTTGTTAATTTTGAAATATTACTAAGTTATGTGGCTTATATTTTACGTCAGTCACTAACTTAAGGTAAATTCACCATCAAGAATAAGTTAACTTAATTTAGGCTAGTCTAGGCCTAACTTATTCTACCTACACCAGGTTACAATTACCGGTATTATAAAAGAAATAGCCTAGCCTATTTGAAATCCATTTTCATTTTAAACTGAATTGGGGTACATTTCCGTATCTGTTGTCAAAAACAACTGAATGAATATATAACGATCGATATTTTCATTCGGTTGTTTTTGACAACAGATACGAAAGTCTACCCCTGTATTGTCTCTTAGTCTTTTGTATTTTAGTTGTTGTCTGCTTCGTTTACCAACCAAAGATTAGGCCTAACTAATCTTGATACATATTTAGGCCAGAGAAAGGTATGCATGAATTTAACTAAAAGTAGTTTTCTCTCCATTGTTTCAGTTGATAACTCTGCAGCTTTGGTGGAAGTTATTATTTGGTAGCAGTGAATAATTTACCTACCAATTCTCCCGAGTGACAAAGTATGGCTGTCTAGCAGCCTGTAGGCTGGGAAGGAGGAATAGATTTTTCTTTTGCAATCTGCATCTGAAGCCAGCTAAGTTATCTTGCGTAAGTTTTTTTTGTTTATTTACAATCAAGACATTAATAATAGGTAGGCTTACATATATTTCAATTAGGTTTTCTCAAAGTTAAAATAAGTTATACCTACAGTAGGTATTACAAAGTTTCAATCTTAGGTGTTTTTATTTCAATTTTTCTGTTTGATTTGCCATAAAATTTCTTGCTGTGACCTTGTATTATGTGATGTTGGGGATTTTTAAGTATTTCTTTTTTGCCATAACGGGTACAGTTCCGCAGAGAACCTGCGATATATTATCGGATGAATAACATTATATATCAATAATTATCCGATTCAATACATCGTTCCCTATGTTTTTTCACTATGTAAACATCAAATTGAGTTATGATTTGCAGATTTGGTGATCTGGTTTTGCAATATTAATATCGAATCGGATATATATGCCGTCCGATAATATATCGCAGGTTCTCTTAGGAACTGTAGGCAAGTTAGGCCCTACCGCCAAAACACAACCTAATTCATGATAGGTACCTATTGGGTATTAACGTAGCCTAAGGTTCATCACACAGTTAAGAGAGTTTCTCTTTTTTGTGACCCACTTATATAGGAAGTATTTGATTTACACTATATAAATATTCCGGCAGTGCTAACTTATGTAAAAGAAAACTGTATTAGTTGAATTTTTTTAAACGCACACAGGCGGCCTATACACACACCAAACTACATCCGACCGTTGCACTCATTTCAGTCAGTGCTCACCCCAATATTTGTCCGTTTAAGTGACTGAGGATTACTTTTACCACTACCTAGGTCAAAATTTTAAATTTTCAGATTTAGATTTAGCTCAAGGCTACTCAAAAGAAGCAAAGACCATCAAAATATAAAATTGATTTCACTAACAATTTAATATGTGTACCTAGTTGTAGGCTATCCTGGGTGTTGATCAGGAAAATGAAAATATACAAATTCTAGTGCTAATACTAATCTCTTATTATACAGAGGCAGTACCGTTACGCAAGAACACTAGGATCGTGGTGTAATGGAAATATATGTTGTTGCTATTATAATCAAGAATTGGCTTCGCCCAGCAAAGTTTAGGATTGATGCAAGGTAAATTTATTGTGTTATTTATAATTTAGGTTAAAGAAAAGATTGCTTATCTAATTACCAACATCTAATTATAGAACTTAAATTTTATTATAATTAACAGAGTAGGCCTACATCTAACTACTGTGATGTTTTCTTTTCCAATTGTGAATTTTCAGTGACAGGCTATGCAAATGAGCAAAATTTAATTTGCGGTTTTATCCATCTCTTTTTTCTTTATTGTCAAGAACTCAATGCCTTATCGACAAATTTAATTATAAAGTACAGTTATAGTAAAAAAATACGTCTTAAAAGTGTCTAACCAAGGGGTCTCCAACCTACAGCCTGCGGGCTACATCCGGCCCTCGTGCAGTTTTATTCCAACCAGCAGAAAGCCAGCATACGCTTTTGAAAATTATTATTTTTTATAGCAAACACCAATGATATTCTCCCACGATTGCGTAAACACGTGTGGTCAGGTGGTCTCAGCTATACCGTGATCATCTCCCGTGATCTCGCCAAGACTCATGAGCATATTATACTGCAGTCTCGACGGTGCCGTGATTGTCTTTTGCAATCCCAGCAACACCCGTCATTGTTGACCGTGATTTCCTTGAGGTGTAAAAAGAGAACGTTGTCAATGAATGCAGGCTCAGCCATGGGATATTTATTTACCTCGCGGCTCATACCATAATTAAGAGCAATTATCTGTCTTTTCCCCATTTAACAAAATTTGTGTACAATTCCCTGTCTCCAAGTTGGCAGGCTAACGTATTTAAATAGGAACATAGTAAATGTCTCTCACTTGCTAATTTTTTCTCAATAGGCCTAGGGGAATATTAGCAGTAGTCAAGTAGCGGCAGATTAATTTAAATATATATATTTTAAATTGATCCTAATTGGCAGAACTACAAATTGAAATCTTAAACTAGCTGACATTTTAAGGGTCAAATTATATAGCCTATTCTCGCTAAAATATAATTGCACTTTTTGTCAAAGATTTAGCTTAGAATGCGATTACTTCTTAACTGCACATCTTTCGTTAGAATTAGAGGCATTTATAATTTTATTTTATGAACAGAACTATATTTTAGATTATAAAAAAAAGGAAACTGATGTAGTTTACTTGTTTATGGATAGATTTTGATAAAATTTGGCAAACTTATTTACTTTATCCTATACTATTGACGTCTGCTCAAAAAAACTTTTTACATTCTCCATAGCAGCAAACCTAAGCTCTTGTTAAATCTAATCTTCATTCGATTTTTATCTTGTATATTTTTTATATTATCAGCAAGTTAGGTTAGCTTACGACAGTTAAATTTTATAATAGAATGCTCTCATTTTGTCCGTAGTAGCAAGTTTGGTTAATTAGGTTAGGTTATGACAGTTTAATTTTATAATAGAATGCTCTCATTTCGTCCGTATCACAAAAAGCCTTTACCTTGTGACAAACGACAACTACAATCGCATCGATAGTAGATGATGTTGTGATTTGATAGAGTAACGAACAATTAACGTTAGTCGCTAAATCGGTGGCGTTTTTAGACGAGAAAGTGCTCACCGAGGAAAAAAAGGTTGGAGACCCCTTGTCTAACATATTATATTTTATCTATAGCTGTCTTAGAAAATAACTCTGTTGAACCTCTTTTACAGGAACAATAGAAAAATCAAGAAGGCCATTTGGGAGATGAAGAAGACCAGAATTATTTTTTTTGTAAATTGTACATATCTTTTTTATATTTGTGTTTAAATAATTTTTAATTAAACTTATTTTATCATACAAACAACGTTTTTTCTTTAAAATGTTTTCCTTGAATGCAATTTTGTTTTAAACAAATATGTTTTGTGATACTTTTATTAATGCTTTGTCAAATAAGAAATATATATATATATATTTACATTTTTGGGTAACCCAAGAACTTTAACAAACTACCTATAACTTCAGAATAATAAGTCAAATCAAGGTAAGAACAGTATAGAGGTCTGAACTGCTATTATTTTAATCGCCATGAAATTTGAAATGTGAAAAAATGCAACCTAATTCTTCTAAACATATTTTTTACCAATAAATTTATGAGACATTTATTTGATATTCAATTTAATATTTTTTTAATGTCAAATTAATTGAGGTTGAACCTAAATTGACCATTTATTTTATATCAAATGAATGTTCGCGAATATCAATTTAATATTCGAATGTCAAAAATGTTATATATCAATATTTATCACCATCATATTTAAAATGTGAATGTAAATTCAATCATATTCTCTTAATCATATTTTACCAATAAATTTATGAATGTCAAATTTGATATTTATTTTATATTCAATTTGAATATTCATTTGATGTAAAATTGAGTGACGTTTGAACCTAAATTGAACGTTTATTTGATATCAAATGAATGTTCGTGAATATCAATTTGATATTCAAATGTCAAAAATTTGATAGCTATTTGATATCAAATAAATATTCGGTGCTATGTGGGTAACTGTTAAAACAATCAAATACCTACTGTGTTAGTAGGTAAGGTTTTCAACACTGTTAAGAGTGTTAACACAAACAATGGTTGAACACCCACTGATGGGTGAAAATATTATGACTGAACAGAACAAGTAATTTTGGAAACCATACAAGATTTCGGGCTTAAAGTACAATCTTTGAGTTTTAACTGCAATCCACAGACATGGACGGCTGAAGTATTGTTGGCTTCATAACAGCATCAGCTGAAACAATGAAAAATTACTTCTCCTGTGACAAATAAATTAAGAAGTTTATGTTTGGCTTCTTTACAAAAATATGTTACCCTATTTGGAGAGCTCAAACTGTATGAAAGACATTAGTTCATGAAAATAACTCAAATATTTAAAAAAATGATTAAAAGGGTATACCGTTTAAAATGGTTCTAATAGGATAATATCGATGACTTTATACCTGGGATCAACAAAGTAGGCCTACCTAATAGGTTTTACCAGTGCTCGATTTATATAAATTGAGGTGCCGGAACTGTAACCTATTTAATGATATCTGTACCTATTTATGCCAATATTTTTCTCTTTCTGAAAGAGAGGTGCCAGAACTCCATTCCGCCGTGTTCCCCCGCAAATCGAGCACTGGGTTTTACTATTGACTATACACACAATAAAATTCCCATGTATGTAATGTAAAAATTTGTGGCCAAAAAACGTGGTGCAATCTGTTGTGATTGTCTAACAAACTAATTACAATATTCTGTGTCAAGCGATAAATTAATCAGCTGTTTGCTATGATACTGCATTGATTTTAATTAAAATTTAACCAAATTCACTAGTACCCTCTGGTGAGATGGTCCTGAACTTCATATATTTTCTTGACTTCAAATTTTTACAGTAAATGGGAAGTCTATTTTGTGTATGGTCAACGATAACATAATCCAACGTTTAAGATTGCTCAGTGGCTTACATGTTTTACTGCTAAGAAAAGAACGTAGTTGTGTGTGTTAGTCACAGAATGCGCTAGTGTCCTCAAATCCATTTTCTACCTTATTTTTTGTTGCTGACCAAGTTTATGAGTCATAACCGTTGCTTTCGCTCACAAGAAGTCATTTAATTATTTTTGACATGGTAAAAAAGTTTGTGTATTCGACAGATAATTGTAATTTAGATCAGAACAATCTGTTGGTGACTCACATCAACTACGATGATTTTGATCTTGAAAAACTGGCGACAAATTTAACATAGGGATGGATTGTTTGGTTGTATAAAAATAGTCAGAGGTACTAAAATAATATAATTACTGATCCTACCTGATTCCAAGGAACTCGGACAAGAGCACGGCAGGAGCAGTGAAGGTGTCTTTAGAGTTGGTCACCTTGGTACAGCGATGATCACAGCTCAATTCAGAGTTAAAGCCTGAAACAAGGTTTGATAGTAACATTTTGACTCAGTAATATTTCTTCACACTATTATGTAGATTTGTTTGGAAATCGAATAATTGAAAAGTATTAAATATAAGCAAAAATAATACTTAAATGTGTTTCAGAGGGTGAGATAGAGGCTGGTTGGTAGCAGTTTACTTGTTAGCGCAAGTTTCTAAAAGAAATATGAAAACACAACAAAATGAAAATCCTTTATTAGATTTGTTAGATTTATTAAATTTTAATATGAGTTTTGAATATCTTAGAGTAGCTTACTTTGCTTTTTGTCAGTCCTATGTTCCCTATGGCATTACTCTTTGGGGCCATTCGAGTTTTGTGCATGACATACTTACAATATAGAAAAAAATCATTAGAACAACTTTTAGAACTAGTGACACTGAACATTGCAAACCACTTTTTATAAAACTCAAAGTAATGACTGTTATTAATCTTTACATTTATTTATCGCATTCTTATTTAGACCAAATTACATATTACAGATTTCAATGATAGAAAAACATTCCATAGCCACAACACAATTATATGCATAACTATCTAGAATAATAATCAGCTCGAAAATATTTTTACTATAACTTATAATATTTAGACTAAGAATTGTTAATCTGTTCTTTATATCTACATTAAATTCACAAAAAAAATAAATTCTGATATGTCGTCATATATCTGTGCATTAACATTTTGGTGAGAAATTATGTCATCAAATAAATATCTCCTCCATGAAAGGGGAAAATCAATGTAGGCCTACACAAAAAAGAAAAGATTTCTGATAACAAAAAGTTTTGAACCCTACCCTCGTGTAAAATATTGATTAAGAAATAACAAATTTATAAAGTACTGAGAAACAAACTTTTATTTATTAATTACGAAAATACAACTATGAACACATGACTCATTCTGTATCCTAAATAGTAAACACTAATAGAAATACTATTACTTATCGGTACAACGGTAAGAGTTTACGAAATTGCCTATCTGTTCTTATAGGCTAGGCATATTAGGAATATAAATGACAGTTAGCGGAAAGTTTAGGTACAGTCCTAATCATCACTTTTCTTTATGTTTTTTGGGTCGCTGAACACGAATATGAGGTTTGCTGACAGATATTTTTCCCGGAACATTGGTTGTTTTGTGAAAAACCTTAAAATTTGGGCACTTTTTTGGGTTTTTCGGGCAAATCTCGGTAAGTATGGGTTTTTGAGAAAATCCTGCGTTGTAAATTTAAAGATGACAAAATTTACTAAAAGTTTCCTATATAATGTTTGTTTCTACGACGAACCGTTTCGCCACTAGAGCACACTAAAAAAGGCTAGAAGTACAAAAAATTAAAAACATTGCTAAATGCTGCCGTTTTACATTAGGTTTCCATGGAAACAACCCATGTTACGATAATTTTAACTATTTATTCATGATAACAAACCGAAACACACTTAAAAATACCCCCACCACAGCAAACCTGCAGACTAAGCGAATTTCCATTTCCCTGATTGGATTTACACTAAAATGTCTCCTTAGAAATATCACATTTATTCCCTATTTAAATAAAAGTTTAACGAGTACTTAGGTTTGCTGCAACAGGGAGGGTAAAAAGGTGTTTTTTGTAAAATGTAATAATTTGGTATGAAATGAATGCACTTTCCAAATTTGATAAGAATAACATGGGCATTTTAAATTTACAGATCTTTTGGATTTTCTCAGTAACCATTAGGCGCATAACAACGCTTTATTATACTAAATTATTTGTTTTTTTTTAAGCTCTACAAAATGGTATGGAAAGAAATCGCAAAATTTTAAGTTTATAGGGTCAAAAATAGGAAAAACCAATTTTTACCCCATAAAACCCCCCATAAATCCCTGTTCCCATAGTCCGATCATGCTGGTTCGCGAACTCGTTCGAATAGACGTAGGTTTACACGTTTGTCCCAATTTTCATCAAAATCGGATGATTTTTGTCGAGTTCTCACCCTAACGGACACATATATGAATTTTCTCTAGGGGCCTCAAAACGAAAAAATAAATCGGTCCTGGGTCCAGGTCTTACCATGAGTTATACGGTAATAGCTTATTCCCTATAGGGAAATTCACTAATAAACTAACTAGTGTGTCTTCTGACCACAATGTTTTGGGGTATACGGGTAAGAATTCTCTACTTTCATCGCGTTATTCACTATGGCAAGTGGCTGGACACGGTCTACTAGTCTGAATTTGACGTTACCAAAGTTAAAAGTTATCTACAACTCTTTTATTGTATTTCATCCTTTTTTACTCAATCACTATAGCAGTCAACCCGGTGGCCAGCAACATCCCTGTGCTGAGAAAATAAATGGGGATTTTGTGGGAACGGGAAATGTTCCAGCAGTCAGTCATACATCTTGGCATAGATTTTCAAGAGTGTTTCAGTTCATTATCATAAATAAATAGTTCTAATTATCGTAACATGGGTTGTTTCCATGGAAACCCAATGTAAAACCTTTGTAAAACGGTTAAGGTTTATTTTCATTTTTGGGTTTGCCCAGCATGATCGGACTATGGGAAAAGGGATTTATGGGGGTTTTTATGGGGTAAAAATTGGTTTTTCCTATTTTTGACCCTATAAACATAAAATTTAGCGATTTCTTTCCATACCATTTTGTAGAGCTTAAAAAACAAATAATTTAGTATATTAAAGCGTTGTTATGCACCTAATGGTTACGGAGAAAATTCAAAAATCTGTAAATTTAAAATGCTCATTTTATTCTTATGGAGACTAAGTAAACTGTTGTAGTTTGCTTGTTTATGAACATATTTTGATCAAATTTGGAAAATGCATTCATTTCATACCAAATTATTACATTATACAAAAAACACCTTTTTACCCTCCCTGTTGCAGCAAACCTAGGTACTCGTTAAACTTTTATTTAAATAGGGAATAAATGTGATATTTCTAAGGAGACATTTTAGTGTAAATCCAATCAGGGAAATGGAAATTCGCTTAGTCTGCAGGTTTGCTGTGGTGGGGGTATTTTTAAGTGTGTTTCAGTTTGTTATCATGAAATAATAGTTAAAATTATCGTAACATGGGTTGTTTCCATGGAAACCTAATGTAAAACGGCAGCATTTAGCAATGTTTTTAATTTTTTGTACTTCTGGCCTTTTTTGGTGTGCTCTAGTGGCGAAACGGTTCGTCGTAGAAACAAACATTATATAGGAAACTTTTAGTAAATTTTGTCATCTTTAATTTTACAAAGCAGAATTTTCTCAAAAACCCATACTTACCGAGATTTGCCCGAAAAACCCAAAAAAGTGCCCAAATTTTAAGGTTTTTCACAAAATAACCAATGTTCCGGGCAAAATATCTGTCAGCAAACCTCATATTCGTGTTCAGCGACCCAAAAAAACATAAATAAAAGTGATGATTAGGACTGTACCTAAACTTTCTGCTAACTTTCCTAATATGCCTAGACTATTATAACTGTGATCTTATCTGATTTACATGAATAAAAACAATCCTTAAAAATATATATTTTACGATTGAAAGCCCAAAACTAAAGATTTATACTGAGTGAAATGAAATTGTTTTGACCTAGACATTACTTTACACAATGGCCACTTTAAATGCATGAAATTTTGTTCGGCGTGATTCTTGATTGGGATTCTATATTTATTTATACCTATAAGAACAATAAGAATAAGAATATTATTTATTTCCAAAGTTCAGAGGTTACAATCTTGGTTAAAGAATAAATAGTAGGCTACAAAAGAAAAATCCTCACAAAGACTGTACATCTGCATATGGGGAGAGTCTTCTTTGACGCTCACCACTTCACAGATGAAAGAGCACAATAAACAAATAATTAAAATAATATTGTGAGTATTGTGTGAGCGAACACAGTTTCTGGGTCATTTTTACATTTCTCAAGGTACTCCCTCATATCTGCCTCAACCAGAGCAATGTTGTTAGAATTCTCTAGCTCTTCAGTCAGAGAGGTTGGCTTGAGTCCGTTACTGGATTGTAAGGGAAGTGGTGGGAATTTCTTCAGCGACTTTGCAGCAGGTGTTGTCCTCGCTGACACACTCTCCTCAACATTAACCACTGTACTTTGCCTGAACACTATTTACAATGGATTCAACACGCTTTTGTTTACCTCCATAGTTGAGTTGAGATGAAGTCCATGACTTCTGAAGCAACTTCTATGCAATTGAGTTATGTCAATGAAGGAGGGATCTGTATTTCCGAGTAATTTTTTAATGTTTTTGTTCATGATGTCAATTTTTTTATTCAATCTGTTGCAATCAAACCTATGTGAGATTATATTTCTCTAAAAATAAAACTGACTCTACCACTTTTGCGAGAGGTAAAACATATTGCAAATAGATTAAAAATATAATTACATTTGGTTAAAAACTACAGAAGCGGACAAGAAACCAAAACCAGGAACTAATTTAAAAACAATATAACTTGACTTTGTTGGATTACCAACGTATCCTCAATGTCTCTATCAAGCATCCAAAGTTTCAGATTATAGAGGGCCAACTGTATACTTAGAGCTTGCTAAGTAATACATTTAACTGTTACAAACAAACATTATTAGTACTCACTCTGAGAATTGAGATCCATATATTGAGCAAGCCCATGAAGGACTTTCCTGTCATCATTCCCAAGGGGATCACTGATGTATTGTCCAGTGGGTTCCGCAAGGAAGAACTCAAGAATGCAAGGTTCCAAACTCAGCAATGTCCCCTAAACAGGAGCAGTTAATTAAACTATGTGTCACAACAGGTCTCCAAGTGCACCCCCAGCTTTTACAATTGACATTATGTAACCAACCAATCCTGCTTGTGGGGAATTTATGTTAATTTATAGGTAAGCAATGTGGACTGAATTAAAGTTATTTTAAAGTTGGAGACACTAATCTTTTCACATAAAACTGATGTGTAGACTGGGGGACCCCCTTTGATGTTTCCTGAAATGCTTATAATGTTGATAAGTTCACTTTTTCACACAATTAGTTATAAGCCAGCGGTATTTAGTTATGTTGGTATGGAGCGGTTTATGGTATTTGAAAATGTATTAATATGGGAGAAGGCGTCTTAAGTCCTCATAGCAACAGGACTTGCCCAAGAGTGTCCCTACACTACAGAAGGAAGGAGTTGGTCATGTGATACATCAGTGACCAATCAGAGAGCTAGTTTTGAAACTATTGGGATTAGAAGATACTGATGCACTCTATGAGGAAAACATTTAACATTTGAAATGGTATTTAAATAGAGATTATGGTGAAAATATTAGAGTGCATTTAAATTGAAATCAATATAAGAATACTTAGAAGAAAATAGTTTATATATTTGACAAACTGCTGTCTTCACTGCAGCCAAAATGTTCAAAACTACTACACCCTAAAGGTTCTTTAAAAAGTCAATCCAACCCAAAACTAAAAATTAAATTCTAAAATGGCCTACAAAGTGGTTAAAAGTATGTTTACTTCTATTACAGGGTGTCCAGGAAATTCACCAGGCCAACCAGAAAATTCATGAGTAATTCCAGGTAGTTCAGGTCTTACTTTTCATACTCAACTTCTCAACCTCGAGGTTATATCGTGATCATCTACCACTGTCGTAATAACACCATCATCGTTTTCCACAATAACTGCAAAATCCTGAATATCTCCCTCAGTAACAGAAACCTTATAATAATCTCCAACGATCACAGAAAAGTTATCATCATCTTCCGCGATCGTAGCTTAATTATAATAATTTCCCGCAGTCATCATCGTCAAACAATAATTTTAGGACATCATCACACGGAAACGTGAACGTCTTCTCCCGCGGTCACGGAATCGCGACAAAATCACTAAAAAATCCCACGGCCATTTGCAGTATGTCTTCGTTAACGTCTCCTGCGGTCACGGAAACGTCATCGTAGTTTCCCGCGATCACAGGATCGTCATCATCGTCTCCCACGGTCACGGTAACGTCATCGTCATCTCCCGCGGTTACGGAAACGTCATCGTTGTCTCCTGCGATCACAGATTCTTCATCGTCGTCTCCCGCTGTCACGGATATGTCATCGTCATTTCCCGCGGTCACGGAAACACCATAGTCGTCTCCCGAGTCACAGAAACGCCATCATCGTCATGAGCAATCGCGGCAAAATCACTAAAAAATCCCATGGCCGTTTGAAGTTTAGACATCATCATCGTCTCCCGCGGAAACGTCATGAAACATCTTTTTATTCCCTGGAAGAGTACTTTTTCACCTTTACCTAGCTTTAGCTAAAATTGTTTTAGTTTTGTAAAATTTTTTGGCCTATTTATTTATTTATTTATTAGTTTATTTATTAATTGAGTTACTTGTCAGTACATCATAATAACAGGACATATTGTCAATGGTTAAATAAAGACTTAAAACTAATACATCTGTATTTACACAAAATCAACAGAATCTTCCCAAAATACAACATTGTTACATGACAAAAAATTGAGCTAGAAGGAATCAATTCTTTCAGAATCAATTTAATAATTTATCTTATTAATCAATTAGGAAAAGTTTTGGTTTTGAGATTCACAGAGTTTTGAGATTCAAAAGTTTTGAAATTGAAGAATTTGACAGTTTTATCTTTGAAACTGCTGACATTTTTTTGTGCCATTATTATTGTTTTCAACACTGTTTCCAAATAAGCTGGTAGCAATCGAGCAAACATATCACCATTAACAGTAATGAAACAAGTAAATTTTATTCTGAACTTCAAAAGGTGTCTTAAATACTATAACTGGTACGATTCAGTTTCACATCAATATTTACTAAACACAATGAAATGCGACCACTGTTCTAATTAATCTAATATTCATGTTTAGGTTGGTGTTAGTAGGTCTTTGTTTGTAGATTGTGTAGCTAGAAGTTTAATTTTTTTTTTATTTATAAAAAATTATGTTGCATTGGGTTTTAAGATTATCAGTCACATATTTATGCTATGTCAGGGTCAGGAGTCGATCTCTTTCAGTTTTGATTGCATTCTTAACATTTTATGATTACGTGTACTGTATTTTTTTAACCTTGACCTTTGTAACCAGCTAAGTAAAAAGTTTTGCGTTTAGGTTTTGAGATTCAAGATTCGGGATTCGATTTTTTTAAGTTTTGGTTTCGGTTTTGAGATTTGAAATTTCTGGATTTGACCATCACTACAGCTTAGCATTAAGTCCTCATAAATTGCACCTTTTTGAAAAGAAACCCAAATCCGCTGGGACAAAATTCTACTATTAGAATGTAACGATTCTCTTATTTACTATAAGCATGTATATTTTATTATAACTTTATTTTAAATGTGACACTATTCATGTATATATTTCTAATGTACTTGATGAATGAAGATAATTTGAATTGAATTGAATTGAATGATAGAAAATACAGGTCTTGTCACACTCTAGTAAAAACGTACTTAGATTATTATTTTGGGCCCTTGACTTACCACATCAACTAGTAAAATAAATAATTAGTTCAAAGAAATGCAGAGTTTAAGCAGGTTGCGTGAACTGGTTTTGTTATAAATAACCTTTACCACTCAGTCCGAAATATTTTGCACTTACCTTAGGCAACTCTTCACTGTTCAAGAACTTCTGAACCAGGGGACAAATTCTCTTAAAGTATTTTCTGCCTTCGTCAGGTCTTCCATCAGGCTGCTTCTCAGACATCTCTTGGGCACATCTCGCCTTAGCCTCTCGCACTTTAGCGAACTGCTTTGTCAGGAAAGCGTGCTGTTCTTCTTCTGGTTGACACATAAAATTCTCCCACGCCTAAAATGATCAGTTATTGGTAATAAATCAAATAGAAAATGAACAAAATTAATTTATAGGCTATGAGTTAAATACATTTTTTTGAAAGTTGTAACGTTAACATTTGATAATATAACATATTCTTGCTGTTAAATATATTGGCTTCATTACATACAAGTTTAAGTTAAGTGTCTCATTTCATGATTCATGGGTGTATTTTTTATTGCAATTTATGAGTTGGAAGAAGGTAATTTAAAAAAGAAATGAGTAGACAATTTTTGCCGTTTCCATTTAGATATTAAACCCAAAACCAAGTCAAATGACCAAAATAACAGCATAATATATTACTCGCAAGTATTGCAGTTTGTAAACTGTATATTAAATTATTCATACGGAAGACCAGGAAACCGAGAACATACATACACATGATATTTTCATGATCGAAAAAGAGTCTGTTAATAGCTTAAAGTTTATGGTATAGTCTATTTTAATTTAAAATAAATAAATTCTTTAGATAGCCGATAGCCTCTTAACTATTCATTAATGGCGTTCTTTTGGTTCCATTTTCTCATTACAGTGTTATCAGAAAACACAATGAAAGACAAATAATCGTGATAGCGTGAAATAAAGACGATGTCACTGAGATTGCGTGGGATATTAATTTATTTTATTGTGATCGAATTCAATTATTGCAATGTAACTGTGATCACTAATTTTGTTTTATTTTTTTCAAATATCTAACTTTTTTATAAAAAGAAGGAAATCAGGTTGGTGGTCTTTTAGATCTCTGCGTGGAACGTATCTAGTAAAGCATGGGGTGAGCCTGTAAAGCACTGAAAGGGTGAACTGAACTGATAAAAAGTAGGCCTAGTGGCAGGTACCAGGATCCGAACCCACGACATCGCTGCCTGGGGCCCGAAGTCTTTGGCACTACCGACTGAGCCACTGACTCAACAATTTTACCTTCCTGCGATTAAGCTGTTATCTGGATGGTGTGAAGGTTTACTGATTGGACACTTTCTTTTATTGTTATGTATGAATATGAGGATTTTCTTACCTTCATAGCATCCTCATTACACATAAGTCTCTCAAACACTGTTGGTTCTTGTTCGATTATATCATCATGTAGTTCTTCACCCTTGAGCAGATTTTGAAGGAATGCATCTAAAAATTAAAAAATAGCAGTGCGCGCACTAGTGTAACTGTAACTACTGAAAAGGTTTATTGAGGCTCATAGTAATACAGATTGAAACATCTGATTCATTTCTAAAAACACAGATAGCAGTTTATAAACTGAATTATAAATAACATCACAGTCCTTTGAGCGTTTGACAGATTTTTGCAATTAATTGAAAATTCTTATCCTAATAAAATCTTGGACTCTGATAGTGTAAATGCTGCTAATAGAAGTGAGACTGATCTTGTAATGAACGTAGATTCTAACATTTCCACAGTTCTAACCTCTCAGTCTAAACACTATCAGGATAAAGAAGGTACTTGTATTAGGCCTATTGCTAGAAATACTCCACAACTTCTTTAAGTAGTGTAAGTAAGGGGATTTACTAAATATACTGGAAGAATAGAGTAAATACCCCCCTGCCACTGCAACAGACCAGTGTAAGACAACTAATAATCCTGAGACCGTATCAGTAGCCTACTAATCAACATGGCCAAGCTCAGTCTGCTTCCAGTTCTACCCATAGCAATGTACACGATCAGCCTACCTGTAAATAATGTTTGTGGGTTAACTTATACTGACGACTCCTTAAGAATCGGATTTTTTTCCAGCCTGATGCTTGAGGAGTTTTAAATGACCGTCAAAACATGAGTAGCAGGAGCAGGTTTATTACACACTTGCATATCAAGGAATGTTTGGCGAGGAAGTTATGTTTCAGCCATTGTTTGTTGCCGGTATAGAACACAATCCTTGGGCTATAATATTTATTAAATTATACTATAATAAAATTACATACTGTTATCAATTCTACGAGACCATCTGCGGCCCACTTTGCAGTTCCTGCAGGAGATCCCATCCTGCAATGCTTGCAACACAAGTTTGCGTCTTGGCTGGGCAGGTCTACGAGGCTGATGCTCAGGCAGTCGAATTGGTTCAATCACTTCCTCCTCATCACTACTGGATGAAGGTTCACTGAATATACAACCAGAAAATTAGTTTAACAAACACATATGAATAGGATGGGGTTAAAACTACAGACAAAACCTTACAACTTACTACTAAAGACAAACCTTACAACTTACTACTGTTTAGTAGTAAGTTGTAAGGTTTTGTCTGTAGTCAAATTGGTTTAGATTTGAAATATTTAGGTAGGATTATAGGGACCAACATAGAGAAGATTGATTTTACTTACGTGAGCTCTTAGTTTCGTAAATCAGAACTTAGGTCTGTTAACAAACTAGATGAGCTTGATGAAAGCAATTAACTGCTGTCTGTCCAAACTTGTAAGCAAGAAATGTCTACACCCCTTAGTTATTTTAAACTCATTAAACATGTAATATAGGTACTAGGTAGACATATCAATAAAAATGTAATAGGCCTACAGTAGAATAATTAAAACAATATTGTAAATTTTACTGAATAAATTTATTCTGAGCACTTTTATATCTAATCCACACAATGCAGCTATAGTATTTTTTCCTCAGTTTTTTTTTGCCACTTGCCTAAGTAGTAACAGTAGCCTACAGTTTGGTGTTGCTCAAGATTAATTACCGGTACTGTACTTACTATACAATGTTATGGTTATTACAGTAATTAATGTACCTAATGTAAGCTATTAAATTTCATATCTAGTTGGTATTTTTTGTACTGCGAGCTTTAATATAAAATTAAGTTACACACATTATTTCTATTTTTAAGGAGGGCTTATCAAGCCAGAATACTTGATACTTGTCTTCTTTATCTTTACCGTGATTACGGATAGATAGCGTCAAATTTATTATAATATTTTAAACCATAATTACATATATTTACAACACATAAAAATAACTGCGGCTGTGGCCAAAATTCATCCCAGCATGAGAGGTTCCTCAAATAACTCTTGCAAGGCCTACTTTAAAGTGGTCTTTGCAAAAGAGAATTGCTCAGTGTTCATTTGAAGACCTTTAGGTCTAGGTTTCTTAGGACTCTTTTGGGCAAAGTGTTATTTAAAGGTCTTTATAGCAGAGTGCGGGTAGCGCTTTTGCATTAGACTTGGGCGGCAGCGAGGCATGTCCAAGTCATGAGCTCTACGTGTTCCGTGGTTGTGAGGGATACTTCTGTTATTGAAGCTGGTCAGGTTCTCTTTTAACAAGACAAGGCTGTTCAGGACATAAACTGGCTGACAACAGTGAGCTATTCAATTCTTTAAAAAGGGGTCGGCAGTGTTCTATTGGGCTGGAAGATGTAAACTTGATGACTCTCAAGTCTTTCTTCTGCAGCAATAGTATGTCCTGGACTGAAGGAGATTAACCCCAAAGTTCTATTCCATACAGTGGTTATGGAACAAGGAATGAGAAGGTCTAGGACACTTGACAACTTAACACAAACCTTAAGTCGGCTCTGTGTGGATATTCCAGCCTAACCTAGGATCAATCCAGAAACCTAACAGCTTTACAGCCTCGTCCTGTTCTATCCTCGATCGCAGAGTGCAGATCAGGGATTGGGTTTTTGCCTAGTTGATTTTTAAGCGGTTTGCTATAATCCAATCCTTGGTAATTTCCAGCAGATTGTCTGCTACTGCCCTCAATCGCTCAATGTTCTTTTCCTATTGTACAAGGTGGTATCGTCAGCAAACAATAAGGTTTAAATCCATTTAGATGCAGATCGTTGATCGAATAAGAAGTCCAACCACCGATCCTTTGGGCACTCCAAGAGGGATAATCTGCACTTTTGAAGAGGTTCCGGTCAGTGACATGAGCGTGTTGCTAGCCTAATGGTTAGCGTCCCGTAATTTGATGCGAGAGGAACAGGTTTGATTCCCGGCATAACCACAAAATGGGTTTAGACCACTTTGGGTTTAGGGCCAAATACCAAAGAACTACTGAAATTGTATTACTAGGCCTATGAGTTCATGATAGAATAACTTAGGTCCGTATTTTTTTTTTATATGCCTGATTTCTAAGGGCAAATTTCAATAACTAAGGTACAGTAATTAACCTGAATCAATGCAATATTTTTATTTCAGCACAGAATAGTAAAAAGTTGAGTTTATTTCTGTGTCAAGGTCATTGACTTTCAGAATAGACTAAGTAGTACATTACATCAATGTAGATAACCAAGTTAGTCTACAGATAAGTAAGGCTAAGTTTGACTTGGAGGCTAACTTAAATGCTCTAATTTAAGGTAATTAAAAAAACTAGGTTAGTATCCTTTACAGTATTTTCTAAAATACATAAATTTGTATGATAAGTAAAAAATGATAAGCAACGTAAACAATTTACGAGTTGGCCTATTAACTTATCCAAGTAAATTATCCTTCTAGTAAGTTAACTTACTTACAGAAAAACTACTTACATTATAGCAACGGGCACCTGATTAGGGTCGGGTAAGATTTTATTTTCATTGGGCGTCCTTAGAAATCCCATTTCAAATGGAAAGAATCCAGATGTCAACTAATACTGATAAGGATTAACCTAAATATGAGTATGAGAGACTATAGTGTTTGCAATAAACAAACATCTATCAGCCAGCAACCAGCAGCAACTTCAAGCAGAGCAGAGTTGGGGCTGGGTGGTTCCGTACCGACAGACCGCCACCGCCCACCACCATGCCGTGCAGAACGCATCATACCGTGCATAGCCGAACAGTTCGTGGAAAATTGTTATCTCTATCACTGTCGCTGTCAAAACGTGTCGTTTGTAGGTTAAATTTAAAATAATTTAACTGTCATAACCTAACCAACCAAACATGCTGATAACGAAAATTTCGAATGAGGGTTTACTAATAACAAAAATAGTTGTTCTTAAAATAAAACTATAAATGTCTCAAAATCAATTATATAATTTTTTAATTATAAAATTAAACTATCATAACCTAACCAAACCAACCAAACTTGCTAATAATGAAAAAATCTAGTCAAAAAGTTAATGCCTCCGGTGAGTTTCAAACGTGCTACCTCCGGATTATCAGCCCGGTGCTCTATTCTCTACACCACCGAGATATACCATATACGGCTGATCAACGTATCTTTGCGGTAGTGGTGTTCCCTCGAGCAGTGGTGGGCGGTGGTGGTCTGTCGGCAAGGGTTTATGTTTGGATTCACCAACCAATCACAATACAATCACAATCACACACAACAAACACAACAGACATTCGGGATTCGGATCGGACCACTGAGCTATAATTCTAACTGGAGGTAGCACTGAACGTCAAAGATGCGTGTCGCCAGCCGCCATGTTTGCGTGAGGTGTGAGTTAAAATGAACCATGTTATTGGATGAAAAAACTCACTGCTATGCAAACCTAGTTATAGAAGCCATGTTATTGGATGAAAAAACCTGCTGCTATACCAACCTAACAAAATCAGCGACATGCTTTTGACAGACTTCTGCCATGGCAGTGCTACCTCCAGTTATAATTTTAGCTCAGTGGATCGGATGGATAGTTCGGTTGTGGTTCGATGAATATCGAACATATTGTAAGTCGCATATCAAATCGCATTTCGCTCGCATCGCATCCACATCATTCATTCATCACTATCACTGGTCTATTTGTATTGTTTTTTTTTATATTTCACTATCTATTTATTATTTATGTTATTTGTATATGTTATTTATTGTATATGTTATTTATTATGTTATTTATTGTATATGTTATTTATAATGTTATTTATTGTATATGTTATTTATTGTATGTGTTATTTATTTACACTTGAATCATTATGTACATTCATCTAAATGCATGTATTTTCACGATTTTCACTAAGGCCAGAGCTAATGCTATATTATTGTAATATTTTTTTCATCTTGTTTTGTTGCATGATTGCATGAATGTAAAAACGGAGTTTGTCCGTTGATATGTAAAATAAATAAATAAATCACAAGACGCAGCCGGAAGCAGCGTTGGAGCTGGAGTTGTCGTCTGCCGCTTATGTTTTAATTTAGGTTACACAGGCTGTTATTGTCTATGTTAAGGAATTTCAATAAAGTTTGGTTACTTATTACTTAAGTTACTTATTCCCAATTTTTACAATACGCAATGAGTTTGAAAACAAATTACCCCCTTATTAGAGCTAAAACTATTAATTGAATTATTAAAATAAAAATGTCAATTCAGTTATGTTTTTTTACAAATCAATCATAGATCAAATATGATGGATTCTAGAAAACTAATTTTACGCTTTAACTGTTTCTGTAGTTCAAACAGTGTGCAAATTAACAAATTAAGTATTGAAACAAATCAGTATTTTTTAAATCAAAATAGATAGAAATATTCTGTTTGTAGCATTGGTTGAACAAAGGTTCCGGAATGTTTTACATCAAAAATATTTTTTAACCCCCTTAATAAGGTAAGGGGTGGGGGTGACTTTTTTTTTCAAATAACAACCTCTATTGAGTGAACCCTCATTTTGAAGGGGTTGCCAAGACATAAGCAATGATGCAAATCTGAAGTCGATGATATGTCACCCCTAGCCAAAATGGCAGGTATTTAAAATTTTGAATTGGTGAAATGGGTGCTTTTTCACCCAATCAAATGTTTAAATACCTGTCATTTTCGCTAGGGGTGACATATCTACTTCAAGTTTGCACCATTGCTTATGTATTGTCAAACCCTTCAAAATGAGGGGTCACTTAATAGTGGTTGCGATTTGAAAAAAATAAGTCACCCCCTACCTACCAACCCTGTCAGGGGGGTTAAAAAATATTTTTGATGTATAAAGTTGCGGATCCTTTGTTAAAAATCATAACGTCACAAACGGAATATATCTATCTATTTCGGTAAAAAAAAAACATATTTGTTTCAATACTTAATTTACACACTGTATATTTTGGAGGGGTTTATTTACACACTATTTTCTTATTGATAGTTATGATGCTTGATATACTTGATCTGTTTGTTTTCAATTTTTTAAAGTTTCTCAAATGCTTATTCTCTCCATTTTTGCTTCGTTCGGACTTATAACACAACACAAATTCACTCTTGAAACGGACACTATACTAAAACAAGGCATGTTTGTATTTTGTACTCGTATCTTTACCTTACTCTTGCACGTATCTTACTAGGAGGATTAACTTACAACAACAACATCGGTTTGATTCTACACGACGAATACGATACGAAATCTACATTCAGTTGATAACAATCGAAACACAGCCGAATTACCCGAATGTCTGTTGTGAGTTGTGAACCTAGCCATATCCATAGATTAAACATCCCAAACAACAACAGAGGGTGAAAACTTAAGCAGACTGAAAACGTTTTACAGTGTGGCCAGCCAACACTAGTTACCAATTAAAACACCGTTTTCGTATATGCATATAAAAATAAACATATATCAATAAAAAATTAATATAACAATTGAAACAATAATATTGTAAATTGAAATGACTAAATTTAAGGGGGCAATGTACCCAAAAATACTTTTTCTTTATAAATGGCCTAAAATTTTTTATTTATTGATTAAAATGTATCCTAGTGTATAAATAAAAGGAAAATATGGTATGAGCCCCCCCCCTTTCTCTTTCGGGCGAAGGGGGGGGGGGATAAAAAAACATACGTTTACGTTTTACAGTATAATTCCTTTTGTATAGCACGTATTCCAATTTTTTAAACTTTGTTTCAAAGCTAATAAATAGCCTTACAAACTGTAGCATGGCTTTTGATATGCTTTTAAAAATAGATATTGGACATTTTATTTTAACTTTTTGACGAAATCCCATTTATTTTTTTTATTTAAAAAAATATGTAAGGAATATGGTTAACAATACGTAAATTTCCATGCTACTGCTTGTGCACAATATATTGAAGAGCATATGTACAAAATTTGACTTCTCTAGCTAAAAAAAAATAAAAAAGTTATGCTGTAAAACGTGAAGGAAAACACTAAACAAGAAATATGCGGGAAATGACAAAAACACTTTGCTTCCAATAGGCGCCTGAAGCAGAAAAACCAGCTGTGGATGCTTATGATATTTAGTCTAAAAAACTATTTTCAATATTAAAAATACAAAACGAATGCTTCATAGTAGTTCTTAAATAGTTTAAGGAAAAAAATAGAAAAAAAATGTTTTAGGAAGTTTTTTGGTGACATTGCTTCCAAAATAGGTGCCTGAAGCAGAAAAGCCAGGTGTGCGCGCTTATGAAATTTAATCCAAAAAACACATTTTGAATATTAAAAAACCAAAACCAATGCTTGATTTGTTCCTAAATTGTTTAAGAAACAAAAATTAAATAAAATACTTTTTTTTAATTCAAATTTTTTGGTACATTGCCCCCTTAAAAACATAAATGGCTTGAACTTTTCAAATCTTAGATTCTAAGAAGCAGTAAAAATCTCTCATTCCAAGTTACACTATTTAAATTGATTATAAATTTATACATTTCTACATAATAAAATCAAACTAATCTTTGCATTTAAGATGTTAGACATTATGTGTTTGCAATTAACTTTGAAAGTACCATATGACATGGTATATCATAAACTAAAACATCGTCCTGGCGTATTTTCTTGAACATCTGGGTGGAGTACCTGTATGGTGTCTCGACGAATATTCTTAACCGATACCTCTGGCCAGCTAAATCTTATGCGTGGGCACAGTGGGTCACCGTCAAGGTGCCACCACGACAACCCGCCACCTCGGTGTTTCTGTTCGAGGCGGGACCGCGTCTCGTTGTATCACCCGTCTAGTTGTACATGATGAGTGAAAATTTTGAAACGACCATCACGGACATAAAACTGAATATTAAAAATAGTTAATATTATTTTTATAACTGTATTTTGCTATAAAATAATTTACTTTAAGGGCCATTATACAATAAACAGCTCACTAAGCTTTTGGTATATTTGGTCTTTCTTGGTATTTTTTTAAGTTTGTATATTAAAAAAAAAAAAAAAACTTACCTGAGACCCAAAAAATCACTATGTTTTTATAGAGGTGTGCTTCTTTTGTGTATAAAACATTGAAATATGATGATATTTTAATTTTTGAAATTTATATGATAGAAATCATAAACGTGATGGTCAGGGACAAGCGGTACAGTCGTGAATGGTCTAGAATAATCTAAATCTTTCCAAACAATCATTCAATTATACTGTTGATTATAATAAAAATATGTGTTTCAATTGAACTAAACTTTTCAATTTACAATGATATTTAAGTTATTGTCAGACCAAACACAGTATAATCCATAAGGCTGGCATGGTCGTGAAAAAAAACGCGCGATGGTCGTGAAACTTTGATCGTGACATTACGTGTTATTTGGCTCTGTTGTGGCGGTAGCCCTGCACCTCATGTTCAAGGATACAAAGTTGACTTCTAGTTTAATCTAGCAATTGAAATATCTTATAAACAAAAATTAACCACATGTCTACTTCATCAAATGACTACGTACGATCATGGGCACACCAAAATTACAAAAAACACAAACTTGCCTTTATTAATCTTCTAATTCATCCTTTCAACTCGAAACGACCGGCACTACAATCCT